TCAGCACCTGTCTTGATCTGCCATTCCGATCCCAACCTCACCAAGCACCTGCATTTCAGGTGAGCCAATTTGTCTGAGGACAACCCTGATTCCAGGTGCTCAGCACCCAAACCAGCTTGTATGCCCGGCATACAACTTCATTTGGGTGCTGAGCACCTGGACCAGCTTTTATGAACGGCATACAAGCTGGTTTGGGTGCTCAGCACCTGCATTTCAGGTACTATTTGGTACTTTGAGCACCACCTGAAATCCAGGTGCTTGGTGAGGTTGGGATCGGAATGGCAGATCAAGACAGGTGCTGAGCACCTGGCCCAGATGTAGCCAGGTGCTGAGCACCTGGCTATCATGCAATCAAAAGGTGAAAGACTTCTCACCACCGATCTCAGATGTACTTAAAGTGAGGACAATAAAAGATCGGTGACAACATTTGAAAAAAAAAGATTCAAGTTTGATTCATTCTGATTACCACATCTTTTATCCATCCTAAATCAAACCATCCCAAATCAAAAACTACGACTTTTTGATTGATTCAAATTGCTCTCTTCGATTCCCAAACGAAAACCGTCTTCGATTCCAAAACAAAAACCATCTTCGATTCCAAAACGAAAACCATCTTCAATTCCAAAACGAAAACCATCTTCGATTCCAAAACGAAAACCGTCTTTGATTCCAAAACAAAAGTTATCTTCAATTCCCAATCAAAAGCTATCTTCAATTACATTCTTCCATGGTAAACCATTCTCTTGGGTTCAAAACCAAAAAATCAACTATTTTAAATATCTTGAGTCAAACAACCTCAATTCAAACGACATCAACATAAAACCACTGGGTTTTCATGATCATTTTGAAAGTTGGTTTGTGTAATTAACTTTCTATGGATGACTAGTGACAAGTGTACAAGTGATAGAAATCGAAATTAATGGTTTTCTTTTCGAAAATTATAGTTTGGTTGCTTTGGTAGTCTTCACATTGTCATTATATCTCACCTTTCTTTGGGTTTACAAAACATCGAACCACTGGTAAGTCCTGCCTATCTTTCATGAATAGAAACATATGTTATAGTATCTGATTTTGATTTAAATACATACATTAACATTAAAAAAACTTGAAGAGAACGTATTTACATTAAATCAAGTTAGGACACTGTGTAATGTAATTGTTTGATTCAGATAGAACATTGACTTAGGACACTTGGAGATTTAAACATAATTGTTTGATTGAAATAAATTCATAAAAATTTAAAAAAATCAAAGAGAACATATTTACATTAAATTACGCTAGGACACTGTGTTAATTGAAGATACTCAAAGAGTAACATTACCATATAGTAAAGTGTATAATGCCGCGCCCTGCACCTGTGCACTCAGATGGCTGTGAGCATCAAATTTCTCTGAAATAAGAAACCAAAAAACATTAAACTGATGTTTGCCATTTGATTTCATATAGTCATTGTAAGCGTAAAAGAAGGAAACCGAGATCTTTTTGAATGTCTTTTATTGTAAGCGTAAAAGAAGGAAACTGCAAGGCTTCACATCAGAGAAGATGGACACAAGGCTCTTGTGCTTGGCTTCACATCAGAGAAGATGGACACAAGGCTCTTGTGCTTCAACAGAAAGAACCGGCACCAAGCTCACCTGATCTACCACCACTAGCTTCCGAGTTGATTGCTACACACAAATCTCTGATTGACCAGTTGGAATCCAATGAATCCAATGAATCCAATGAATCCGATCAATCCGATCATTCAAATCATCCAGATCATTCAAATCAATCTAATCATTCGAATAATTCTAATCAATCAAATCAATCCAATGAGCAAGATGAAGAGTTTGGTATTATAGATATTGACCGCATCTCTGATGATTTGTTAAACTCTCTGCGTGGAAGTGAAGTTGATGATGAGATAGGTAGTTTGGACGAATCAAGTGATTCTGATGCGTCTAGCAGCACTTCAGAGATTGGTTTAGCAACATTACTTACATATGATCGGACGAGTGACTGGTATCCATTCAAGAAGAAAGAAGTAAGTCTTCTTTTTGAGTTTTTTTGGTGGAGTTATATTGGAAATACTGACTGTTTCATTTTGTGTTCTTGGATAGCATCTTGTATCAATGCTGTTGATTGGAAGTTCGCGAAACTTGATCTCAAGAGAAGAATACGAACGGATACGGTCAATTTTTGCAATCTGTTTAATATTTCTTCAAACATATAACACCACTCGAGACATGCGTGAACGTTTGAAGAAGCGGTTAGGTTTAACTGTTGCTGAACAAGAAAGTCCTTTAGGAAATCCGTGTTTTGGATTGAAGATGCAAGAGATTATCACACAGGTTAGTTTTTCATTTGAGATGAACAGACATTGATTCAAGTTGACTGATTTACATGATGTAGGAATTGAGCAATCCACTTGTTAGTCCTCACCTGGTGTTCATTCCGGAGGCTGTTGTCGACGAACCCATCAACCGTCTTTCACAATCAAAAAAGTGGAGGGAAGATTATTCTAGAGATTTACGAGTCCAAATGATTGAACATAACTCATTTCATTACTATATCTACGAGCCTCTTCAGCTTCTTTCCGGTGAGCGAGTTGTTCCTATACATTTTTATCAGCAAAAAGGTGCCATTTTTTCGAAATCTTTCAAGTTATTCGATCAACCATCTGAATTAGATACTGGTCTCAAACTCTCAATCCCAGAAGAAGAAGACTGGAACTCGGAAAATTACCAAATTATTTCAGTTGATCAATTTTATTGTCCGTATCCAAACTTGGAATTATCAGACGGTTCAATGCTGAAGGATTTTTGTAGTAACACACTGTTTTGTGAGTTTCTTCCTTTTGTCTTTCTA